CAAGGTTTTTTTTTTTTTTAATATTTCATAATCAATAATGAGCATTATGAGTCGTACACTTTTGGATTTTCCAAATTGAATTTTATAGAATGTCGCAATCGTCAGAAAATTTATTAATAATTTATTTATTACAAAAGTAATAAATAAACGAGTATATTTAGAGATTTTCAAAAAAATTTGAAATTTAAAATAATTTTTTTAGAACTGTTGAATTTTTATTCATTTTGCTATTCACAATCGATCTGTTTTAAAATATTGGAAATAAATAATCCTAATTGATTATGATATTTGCCACTAGCTGGCGCATAAGTCAAGAAGCGTGGAGTATATGACATTTACTTACGACCAATCAAAATTATTATTTTTGAATAGCGGAAACTACACAGACTATAGTAAGCGTTACTTCCGTCAGAAAAAAAATCTGAGTTACTCCCTAGTCGCGCCTAAAGAAGTTTTACTTCAAAACTAAGGGTACCTTAGTATAATATAATCGCATTTTTACCCATGAACAACTTACCCGATTATCGAGCGAATGTTTTTAGGAATACTAATTAGTGATATCTTAAAACCCATAAACACTTTTTTTAATATTGTCAAGTAGACTCGGAGAAAAATGGATTCAAAAAAAAAAAACTTTTTTTTTTACTCAAAAATGCGTGATATTTTAGAGTTGAAACTGGGCTGAGATGTTGTCCACAGTATAAGGTATCGGTAGTCTGGCGCTCCGTTTACAACGGGACTTTTGAACGGAACTTGGCGCCAGATTCTACCGAATCTGTGGATTTTAGAAAAAAAAATTAGCCCGATTGCAATGGGGGCATTTTACCCCGGCTTACCTGGCGAGGGCTTTTATTATATACTAACCATAATTGAATAACAATATTTCTTAGAATGTTTAACATATAAACGCATAAAAATACTTCAAATATAAATTATATAATCATAAAAATCTATCGATAATACATTTCAAAAAATTGGGTTTGTATTCGGCGTGGATTTTCAATCTTCCCATGTGGGAACTGCCAGAGTTAAATGACGGGGCCTTATCTGGCCCAGTACTGGGCAACCCAGCTTGGCGCACCGATATTGGCTCAAGACTGGGCCAAGACTGGATAATCAGCCTTGGCCAACCCAATGATTACCCGAGCCTAGGCCAAGACTGGGCAATCAAGCCTCGGCCGGCCCAATGATTATCCGAGCCTGTGCCAACACTGGTTTGCCATTTAATAGCCAAGGCAAGAAAACCCAGCGTTAGGTCAACACTGGTTCGCTATAGAATGGCCGGGGTAAGAAAATCTAGCGTTGGGCCAAGACTGGTTTGCCATGGAATGGCCGAGGCAAGAGAACCCAGCCTTGGGTCAAGACTGGGCAACTAAGCCTTGGCCGGCCCAATAATTACCCGAGCCTGGGCCAAGGTTGGGGAAGCCTAGCCTTGGCCATTCAATGGAAAATCCAAAGTTAATTAATCATTAAGTCATAAAATTTTAAACAGTAAATATTTATTGTTTAAAGAATATTTAGCAAATGCTAAAATTGAAAATTTATCATTTAACCAAAACAATTGCATATCGTCAAAATTGATATGGTCTTAAAAACATTAAAATATAATTTTCTGCCCTCCGGCCGGAAAGTGGCAACTTTCTGGCCACTGCGCTAAACAAAGTTGCCACATTCCGGCTACGTCGAGCAGAAAAATAGTATACACACCTTGGCCAGTAAAAAGTAAAGCCTCAGACCACATGTTTGTCAACCTTGGCTTCGCCTCGGCCAACAATTACATGTGGTTTGAGACTTTTCTTATTTTACTGGCCTAGGTATGTAATATACTATTAACAGATTTACAGATGAATTATTAATATTGATAATTTTAAACAGTAAAATTCATAATAATATATTAAATGTATACAAACGATGTACAAAGTCTAAAGTAATATAAGAACTTGACTTTTGCATTTTTTTTAATTAAGGTAGTACCCTCGCCAGACTCGTGTTCTTAGGATTTTTTTTTAATTTTGGCAGATTAATATTCATATAATTCTGCGTCGATTGGCGCAATTTGAAAATTTTTGACCATCTAGTTTCAGAAATATTTAATTTCAAAGTTTGAGTTTTCAACTCTTTTGTACATTGCGATATACGGGATATCGAAAAGATTACCTACAAACATTTTTGTATCTCAGTTGCCATAGTAACCGTTGCTATGGTAACCGTTGCTATGATAGCCATTGCCACAAAAATGTCACCATAGCAACGAAAAACGACAACAATGAAAACATCACTTCAACTTTATAATAAAAGTTATGATTATTTTCATGGAAAAAAGTCGCTATAGCAACCGTTACCATAGCAACGGTTACCATAGCAACGGTTACCATAGCAACGGTTACCATAGCAACTGTTACTATGGCAACGGTTACTAAGGTAACGGTCACTATGGCAACGGTTACTATGGCAACGGTTACCATAGCAACGGTTACTATGGCAACGGTTACCATAGCAACGGTTACTATGGCAACGGTTACCATAGCAACGGTTACTATGGCGACGGTTACCATAGCAACGATAACCATGGCAACGAAAAGCGACAACAATGAAAACGTCACATCAACTTTTTACTAAAGGATAAGTATTTTTCTATGATTATAAAAATTCAAAAAGTTAATAATTTTAATATAATAATATATATTAATCTTTCATAAGTAATAAATGGTTATTTATGTATTTTGGGCGAGCCACGTGCCAATACGGTCGAGGTGATAAATATTTTCAGCAGGGATAGTATAAGGTTGAGGCCCGATAGGGCCGAGGCTTTATATCCCTGCTGCAAATAATTATCGCCGAGACCGTATTTGCGCGTGGCTTGTCCATGGTGCTTAAAAAATTTTTTCTGCCCTCCGGCCGGAAAGTGGCAACTTTCTGGCCGCTGCGCTAAACAAAGTTGCCACATTCCGGCTACGTCGAGCAGAAAAATAGTATACACACCTTGGCGAGTAAAAAGTAAAGCCTCAGATCACATGTTTGTCAACCTCGGCTTCGCCTCGGCCAACAATTACATGTGATCTGAGACTTTTCTTATTTTACTGGCCTAGGTATGTAATATACTATTCGTCCTATGGCGGACGTATGCGGGTTTTTACGTGCAGGGGATATTCAATTTATAAATAAATAGTGTACGACGCCATAACCCTCTAATCCTTTAAATAAAAATACATGAAAGTCTTGAAGTTAGTCAAAGGTGCGCTTTTCAATTCAAAATGACAGTTGAAACGTAAGCTACTCGGCTGTATAGAGATTGGTGACGCTTGTGTGACATTGTCCTCGACTGTATAAAGTTCTATACAGCCCAGTAGATACTGGTGCGTACGCGTATTATTTACAAATTGAGTGTCGTCTGCGCGTAAAAACCCCCATACGTCCGCTTAGGACGAAAAATAATAGTCAGATGAAATAATAAAAAAAATACTAAAATTTAAAATCAGTTAATACATCAACAAAAAAATTCAATTACTGATTTTTCTGAAAAAACAAAACAATATTGTCAATCATTTTTTTTCCATTTGTTATTTGGATATTTGCTAGTGATTTCTGTCGTTTTTCAAGGATTTTTTTTTATGAGTCATTCTTTATAAGTCAATTTTTCAGACATTGTAATTATATTTCGAAATAAATGTATGCAAATGTGTCCCCGTGCTTCCGAGAAAGCCAGACGTTGATGTTTAGGATCAGGCGCGCCGTCCATTTGCCCATCTTTCCCGATGTCCATCGGTCTTGCCACTCTCACTGCGTTTCCTTCTTTATCCTCGTTTTTACGTCCTTTATGTTTTCGTCACTAGTTTTAACGTCATGGAGTTTTGCTCCTTCGAACGCTAGTAAGTCGATGGGCGTGTCTCCCGCAATTACCAATACAGCCGCTTCGGAAACCGTGCGGTAGGCGCAGGCAACCCTGAGAGTGCCTCACCGCTGCATTGCTGCCATTTTTTGTCGGTAGGTCTTCTGTTTTAATATGTCTGCCCATATCTCCGCTCCATAAAGCGGTACCGAATGGACTGCTTCCAGAAGGACTCTTCTCTTTTTGGTTCTTGATCTGATAGTGTTGGTCATAATTCTTGCTAGGCTAGACACCGTCTAGGCACCGTCTTTCTGGCTTTCTTGCATGCACTGTCTAGGTGTTCGCGGAAAGATATAGTTTCTCAACTATCAATACCCCTAGATAGCGCGGGGCTTTTGTTGACGTCAATGATGTTCCTTCTATGTCCATAGCGAATGGTTTTGGGAACCATTTTTGACGTGTCAGAACGACCATCTTGGTTTTGTGCTTAGCGAGTTTCAGGTGGTGTTTATCAAGCCAAGTCTCCGTGGTATCAATGGTTTTCCGAACCAGTAGTTCAGCTTCTTCTACGCTGTCTACTATTATCGTGGCCGCAACGTCGTCTGCAAAGCTCGTTAGCTCTACTTGTTGTGGCAACGGGATTTCAAGAAGCTCGTCGCAGTCCACGTTCCATAGATCGGGCCCTATTATTGAGCCTTGCGGCACGCCAGTCGTTATGGCGTATTCTTGTGGGCCTTCCGTAGTTTCCGCTATTAGCTTTCTTTCGTCAACGTAGCTGTCGACTAGTGCCAGATTCTCTGGCTCTGCGTCAAATTTGTGCTCCAGAGCGTCTAAAATATCTCCCCTTTTTGCGCTGTTAAAGGCGATTTTGACGTCTAGCGCGATGAGAAGACATACTTTACGAGCTTTGAGGCAACCAGACCATGCTTGTGTTGCGGTCTTTATGACATTCTCGATCGACCTTTCCGGAAGCCATGTTGGTTGGTGGCAAAGCCTCCAGTACGGTCGATGTCGTTGCGAAGTCTTCTTTGTATGAGCTTCTCGAGCAGTTTTCCGGCAATGTCCAGCATGCCGAGTGGTCTAATCGACGAAAATGTTACGGTGATTCCCTTACCTTTGTCTAGAAGAACCAATCTCTGCCGCTTTCAGACCGCGGAAAACGTGCCAGTTGCCAAGCATGCATTGTAAGTGTTCCGGAGTATGTCTGGGTATTCCAGGGCTGTTGCCCTGGACTGTAGTTCTGATCACCGATGTCGGGATGCCATCAGGGCCAGCTGCCTTTCCTGTTTTGAGAGACTTAGCCGCGTCTTGCGGTTCCTTAGTTATAAAAGGTGTTGATTCGTCGTTTTTTTCATAGTGTCTTTTCTCCCGTGGCGGGTGTTTAGGAAACAGCTCCGCTACAATGCTGTCCATTAAGGCAGGAGACTTCGGCACTTCTGGCAAAGCCTTTCCAAGTCGTGGTAACGAGGACTGGCCGACAGTTAATTTTCAAGTCTAGCCCATGCCATTTGATAAAAAAATTAGAAAAACGGTTGGCCCTCAAGGCCATCCCTGCAACTTACGGCTAATTCCATACTTAAGCGCCTAAAATTGCACGTATTACGTTTTTGAGCTCTTCGAGCTTAAAAATATGATTTTCATGTCATTTCAAGCTCTCCGAGCTCAAAAGTCTGATAAGAGTTTAATGAAACACTATTTTTTGAATTTTCGAGCCGCAATAACTTTTGAGTGAATGAACCGGTTTCCCCGCAGTTGACGGCATTCAACGCAGTTTGGTCAGCCTCATAAAGAACCTTCAAGTTTCAATCAATCGATCTAGGAATTTTGAAGTAATTCCGAAAAAACACCCGAAAGTGTTTTATCGGAATTACTTGTCAAATCGAGCGATTACGACCGGGCTGACAGCGATCGACTTGGTTTTTTGATGTTAAGAGCTGATTAGTTTTTGGAATCGATCGGTAAAGCCATTTAAAAGATATTCCAAAAACACCACATTTGCAAAAATTTTTGTTTTGTAGTTTTTTTGAGATTTCTTAAAATCTACCGGTTTGAATCAGCCCTAATTATATTGAAAATCTAAGTTTGGTCAAGCCCCTTCGAATGGTGCTAACCACGATGAAATCGGTCAAGCCGTTGAAAAGTTATGAGAGGTTTACATACGGCCACACACACACACACACACACACACACACGCGCGCGCGCGCACACACACAGACATAGTGACACCATCGCGAGAGTAGTCAGGGAAGCGTCCTAGGACCTCAGGACGTCGAGATCCGATGAGAATTCGATTTTTGCAAAACGGGGTAGAACCAATAACTTCCCGACTTTTGAAAATTTGCAACTTCCTTTGCGTGAAGTTAAAATAGTATATTGTGCAACAAGTGCGACAACTTGTCGCACTTGTTGCACATACTATTTTGTATTACAAATGCGGTGAT